CCAGGAAAAAATGGGATTTTTACACACTGTGTGGTCCCCGTCAGTGTAGTTCCTCTGCTTGAGCAGAAACCCATGAAAGAAGCTGCCTCTGGCCAGGCGCAGTGGCTCACGCCTGTAATCCCAGCACTTTGGGAAGCCAAGGTGGGTGGATCACTTAAGGTCAGGAGTTTGAGACCAGCCTGGCCAACATGGTGAAACCCTGTTTCCACTAAAAATTAAAAAATTGGCCAGGCGTGGTGATGCACACCTGTAATCCTCGCTACTTGGGAGGCTGTGGCACAAGAATTGCTGGAACCCAGAAGGCGGAGGTTGCAGTGAGCCGAGATTGCACCACTGCATTCCAGTCTGGGTGACACAGTGAGATCCTGTCTCAAAAAAAATAATAATAAATGAAAAGCCACCTCTGGACCACTGTAAAAGTCAGATAAGGAAAAGGGAGAGTCATTTTCTTAATGTTATGTGGGAGCACATTTCTGCTAGGAAGACCCCTGGAAACATCTAATAACTCCTCTCTGTGGAACTTGGCTTTCAGAGTTTTGTTTTGTTTTGTTTTGTTTTTGAAATGGAGTCTCACTCTGTCACCAGGCTGGAGCGTAGTAGCATGATTACGACCCACTGTAGCCTCAACCTTTCCAGGCTCAGGTGACCCTCCCACCCAAGTAGCTGGGACCACAGGCATGCACCACCACTCCAGGCTAATTTTTGTATTTTTAGTAGAGACGGGGTTTCACCATGTTGGCCAGGATGGTCTCGATCTCTTGACCTAATGATCTGCCCGCCTCGGCCTCCCAAAGTGCTGGGATTACAGGCCTAAACTAGCATGCCTGGCCGGCTTTCAGGTTTTGCAGTACCATGGGAAATTTTCAGAGTGAGCCAGAAGTCTAGAGCTCTGCCCCATTGCAGTAGAAACTCAAGGATAAAGCCACCTGGAAGGGTGAGGTGTACAAGGGGGAAAAGGCATCATGAACAAGTGACATTGGGGAATTGGGCAAAGACTGTCAGGATGTCTTCCCACCACCCTAGACTGGTTCTTACCCACACCCTTTCGGTCTTTGTGTTGAGTCCTCCGAGAACATCCAATGAAATGATCCTTCAACTCAATGCATGTTAAACAGGCGAGGTCAGAAGTAATAATACGGCTCTTTCCATCAGACTGTGTAAGCATGTGCATTGCCGGGGGCGCTTGATTCTTGAATCATTTCCCCTCCCACTGGCCACATTTCAACTCTTCCTGTTTTTGGTATCTTCACTGGGAGATAGATGGTCAAGGTCAGACTTTTCACCCGAAAAGTCACCACAGTTAAAGGTGCCAGCTCTCACCCCAAGAACAACTATGGTGAGAGAGAAGTTGAATCAATCAGGTTAGATATTCGATGGTGCATTTTTGGTGGCTTTCCTGTGGATAACAGTTACGTTACAGTTAATGTTCACCAGTGATACTCTCCTGGAACCACATAATGGGCTGTGTAAAATAGAATAAAAGACCTTCCTTCATTTTCCCCGCCTCCACGCAGGTATAGACATTTTCGTTTATCAGATGAATCAAACAGCAAACTGAAAGCTATGTTCGCACTTAAAAGTGTTATTTTCTGATGGTTGATTTTGAGTTGCGCATCAGATAAGCCTCAGCAGATGTTAAATATTAGCCCGCAGTCGACAATTGGCTGTAACATAGGTGTAAATGTTTGACAGAAAAGCACACATACAACAGTACACTAACAAGTGCACTCCAAGGCATTCAGGTGGGAATGGAAACGCACGTAGTGAGAGTAGAAACCATCTATTGTGGTAACCCTGGACAGTGTTTCTGTGAAGCCATTTGTACACTGTTAAATGATTTACATTCTGATGGGACCTGCTAATCCCAGAACTGCAATTCCAAACATTCTTCCACATCCCAGCACTGACAGCCTCTATCAATTCCAACCGCCTTAAAGCTCTTTCAGCTGGTTAAACGTAAGGAATTATTGTCCCCAGTTCTTCCATAGGCTCTCATGAGTTCTTTTAAGCCATACTTCTAAGGTGATTCCAGGGCAAATATTAGTATCCAGCTTTGAAATTCCCAGGCCTAAAAGAGCCTGAATGATATCTCTCCTTCAAAAGTTCCAGGTGTGCTTGAATGCATTGTTTTAAATTGCAGGAGCCAATTCTGGACCTCTCAAAAAATAATTAGAAAATCCGTGAAT